CCAGTGAATACCTCTCCATAGAGATCATTCAATATTCTGACCTCTGTTACCATAGGCTAGTTTCATCTGTTCTTGCATTTCATGTAATCATACTGTCTGTATCATTTGTGCCTGGTTTCTTTTGCTCTCCAAAATGGTCCTAAGATCCATCTCCATGTTGTGATATGTGTATCACTGGTTCATTCTCTTTTTTTACTGCTGTGCAGTGTTTCACTGCATACATATTACACAATTTGTTTATTCATTTTCCTTTTAATGGACCTTTGGGCTGTTTCCAGTGTGGGGTTAATAGGATAAAACTGCTATGAACATTCTTGTACAGGTCTTTTTGTGGACATATGGAGTGAGATTGTTTCTGCTGTTTTTCCCTTGTTTTTTTGACAGTTAAACTGTGGTGTTGGAGAAGACTCTTGAGAGTCCTTTGGACTGCAAGGAGATCAAACCAGTCAATCATAAAGGAACTCAATCCTGAATATTCACTGGAGGGACCGATGCTGAAGCTGAACCTCCAATACTTTGGCCACTGATGTGAAGAGCCAATTCATTGGAAAAGGCCCTGATGCTGGGAAAGATTGAAGGTAGAAGGAGAAAGGGATGACAGAGGATGGTTGGATGGCATCACTGACTCAATGGACATGAGTTTGAGCAAGCTCCAGAGAAGAGTCAGACACGACTGAGAAACTTTCACTTTCATTTGGCCTCTCAAGGGCTGAGTCCCAGTTTGTGCCTCCCCTGTCTGGGGAGACCCTTGAGAATCTCAGTGGCCACTCTTTGCTTAGCCTGCAAGCCCGCATCACTTTCAAATTGGCAAATTTCTCACAAGAAAGAGGGGTAGCAAGTCAGGCTTAAACAAATGGGCTTTCCTGGGACTTTGCTGGCGGTCCAGGAGTTAGGACCTCCTTCCAATGCATGAGGTGTGGGTTCAATCCCTGGTCTGAGAGCTAAGATTCCACATGCATCATGGTGAAAAAGAAGAAAACAGCCAGAACATAAAACAGAAGCAACATTGTAACAAATTCAATAAAGTCGTTAAAAATAGTCTGCATCAGAAATAAATCTTAAAAAAAATTAAAGTAAATGGGGTTTTTTTCTCAGTGGGGTCCTGGCCCCTGAAGTCCAGCTGCCCTGTTGCTCTCCAATATCTTCAAACAAATCTTTTAAAAAACCTACCATGTATAATTGCTCTTAGTGGGAAGGTTAGTCTGTCATCACCTATTTCATGGCGGGAGTGGAAATCTCATCATTGATTATTTGTGTCAGCTCCCATTTGCTGAGTTCGGCTCTGTGTGCCAGGTACCATTCCTAAGCTTTTTAATGCTTTTCAAAAAACGCATCCTCAGAACAGACCATTGAGGTAGGTGCTATGGCTGTCCCCATTTCACAGGTGGAAAACCTGAGTCAGGAAAGGTGAAAAGAGTTGCCCAGGATCAGGCAATCATAAAAAAGATACAGAACTTGAATCCAGATACAACTGACACCAAAGCCAACCTTAAACTGCTAGACAGCCAGCCTCTCCAGTCTAGCTTTGAGGTTAAGAGCTGGCTCTAGGGACTCCTTTCTCCATGAAGCCCTCCTAGAATACTTCAAGTGTCTCTCTCACCTCTGCTCTTCCATTTGCAACAACTGTGTATGCCAAGATCTCCACGAGCTCCCACTGAGAACGTTGGCATCCTGGGTGTCCTGAAGGTACGCTCCCTGAGGGTGGGCCTCACACACACACCTCATAGCAGATTGGAGCTCAGAGAGGGAGAGCACATGGAGGAGATGGAATACAGGGAGATAGCTTGGTTCATTTCTGGGGCAGGTATAGTTCCCATCTCTGGGGGATCCCCAGAGGTTGTGTCACAGGCTGGGGTGGGCAGGGATGGATGACTGTTTTCAGAGCTCTCCGTTTTTCCTTCCTAGTAATAAAGCAAACAACTTGCTTAGAATAGAGGGTGCAGGCTAGGAGTCCTGAAGAGCGCCCACAGAGACTTAGCCCCAGTGTGTGGCCTGCTGCAATCTCTGGGGCCACAAGGGTAACATGAGGGGGGAGTAAGCAGTGGGCCTGGGGGTCAAGGAGGCAGATTAGGAAGGCACCAGCCGATAGGAGTGGCCCAGCCTATACCACTCACCTGTACAACCTCCAAGAATCCTCAGGATAGCCAGGGTTTGAAGGGAAAAAAGGGAAAGGATCATGTTGTTGACTCATTCTGGGACCTTGGACCAGACCCTGCGCCTCTTAGAGCCTTGTTCGCCCCCTGTATAAGATGGGCACATGTCTCTTGCCAGCTTAGCTAGTTGGTGGGTACAATGGAAGGAAGGCCACACTGGCAGACTGGATAGAACCGCACCAAGTGAAGGGTTACACTGTAGTAACACTGGGTCACTTCCAGGATGGCCAGACCCCACAGTGCTGGGCACACATCCATCTTGGTTTGGTCCAGGCTGTTCCCAGAGGCCAGCGGGACTGACTCCAGATGGGTGGACATAGGAGGGGGCCCTCCTGCTGTCCTACTGTGGGAGAGGCCACCCTCTGTGAGCAGCTGTTTTCGCCTTCCCTGGAGGCCCTGTCCTTTCCTGAGACACTCAGGGGACCACCATGTCGCCCACAACTCCCTTGGCCACCACGTCCAGCCACTGTGGCCCCCTCACAGCCTCTCACATGCAGTGGGGATGCCCCTCTCTGGACATCTGTTCAAAAGTTCTCCCCTTTCCAACAGGTCTGGGATGCCTTTCCCCCCTACCCACCCCCACACCTGGCAGGGGAAAAGAGGAACTCAGCTGACACCCTGGAAACATTCTCAAGGTCCCTGGGCAGAGGGCAGCAAAGACCTGCCGAGATGAAACCCAGGAGGGAACTCAGCAGCCTCTCCTAGCCACTGTCCCAGACTGGGGTTTTCAACCTCTCAGCAGCGGGGTTGCACTTCTGGAACAGGAAATTACACTTCCAGTTTCTTTCCTAAGGGGAAAAAGGAAGAAAGCAACAAAGCCAGTGCACATTGTGATGTCTCACCTCCCCAAACTGCAGGAACAGGAACGGTGGTGAACCCTTCTTTCCAGGGGATTCTCTTAGGGTCCCTAGGCCATGGGATTGGTTCCTAGAACTGAACCCCAAGTTTCTGGCCAGGCCTGAGGACTTGGACATCCAGCTCAGCTGTTCTTGTACTTATATAAACGAAAGCAAATAGGGCCATTGTATATACACCTGAAGGAGAGGCTTTCTGCAGGAATACTGGGGCCAGATGGGGGATGTGAATGGGGTGTGTGTGGGCAGTGTGTGTGTATGCATGAGGGAAAACAGGGTGACCTAAGGGCTCACCTCTCACTATCAGATTGAGAAGCTCTCACCATTACTTCACCAAAAGACAGGGGGTACAGAGTCTGGAGGGGATTGAAGCCTGTCCGATAGCCTTTAAGGACCAGACTCTTACGTGGGGTGGGGTGGCTCTGGACTTGATTTCACATGATTTTCACGTGTGTGAGCCTCTTCTCATTTAGCCATTTGGCAAATGTTCCTTCAGACACCTGCCATGGCCAGGCCCTGTCTGTACTAGGCAGTGGGCCTCAGGGCGTGGAGGCATTTCTACCCTCAGGAGGCCTCAGGGACAACAAGGAAGATGAGACAAGGACCCACATCACTGACACACAGTGGAAAGGGGGCAGCCCTGGGGGAGTCTCCTTGTTGTGAGAGTCAGAGTGCAGACATAGGAAAAGGGCTTCATGGAAGAGGACACATCTGAACCAGGCCTTTAAAGATGAGCAGTTTGGGATGGAAGATGCATTTTCAGGAAAGAAAGTACTGTAAACAAAAGCCTGGAGCTGGAAAAAGCATACAGTTAGCTATTCAGATCCACTCAGCCCTCAGTTCCTGCAGAACGTGGTGGCAGGTCCTGGGCCATCTGGGGTTGGTACACATGCCAGGGAGTTTATGTTCCTCAGCTCCATGAGGAAACAGAGCCTCCCTGCATGTTCCAGTTAGATTCTGAAGGACAGATTTCTGGCAATGAAGTTGCTGGGGCAAGGGACATGTGCATTGCACATGGGCAGATATGGCCAGTCGACCTCCACGGAGCCCCTATCAGTTCTAAGAGAGCTCTCAGTTCTTGCCAAGGGCATCCTCAGGACCTGTCTTCCGCCCTAGACAGTGAGGAGCAGATGTTCACAGCATTAGCATCCACAGGAGCACTTGGAATGTGCTTGTTGCAGCTGTTCAGTCACTCGGTCCTGTCCAACTCTTTGAGATCCCATGGACTGCAGCACACCAGGCTTCCTTGTCCTTCACCAACTCCCGGAGCCTGCTTAAACTCACATCCATTGACTCAGTGATGCCATCCAACCACCTCATCCTCTGGAATGTGCTAGGTGTTTTTGTTCTTCCCTGGGGTGTCCAGGCAGCCTTTCCCATTTCCCAGGAGCAGGTAGGGCTTCCCTCTTCTGGGTCCCTCCTTAATGCCGGGAACAAGAAACCCCTTCTCCTTATGCAGCTGGGTGCTCCTGTTGATCTGCTCGTCCCAGCAGCTGATCAGCACCTGGCTCAAAGGAGGGCTCACCAAGCATTTGTCATGACTGTCAGATACAAGGAAGGTGGGTCCTATCTTCCATCCTTCCTTTCCCAGGAAGCCAGGCAAATTGTCCCCAAATGCCAATATGCCACCAAAATCCCATTGCACAGGCTGGTGTGCCTTGGACTTTGCAAGGACAAGGATGGACATACCTATGTTATGTTAAAGAGAACTAAAATTTAGAGAGTGAGTGGCATGCCCCACTAACTCACAGAGTGTGTTAGGGATGAAGCTGAGGCTAGAAACAGTGGGCCTGAGCTTCCACACCAGCTCTGGCCATAGCTGCAGCCTGGTTAGAGCAGAGTGACCACATCAATGCTCAGTGCCCGGCTCTGCTTGACTGGAGGTGATCAGGGACCCCTGAGGGGGGCAAGCATGCGTGGGCTCGAAGAGTCACAGAGGAAGTGACTGCCACCACTCAGGCCTGTGCATCTGTGTTCCATCTTTCCCAGGCTCCTGTCCATGGAGAGGCCCCTCACAGTCCTCCGCATGAGCCTGCACCACCCCACGCCGGACTCTGCCCGCTTTGCTTCTGTCCCTCCTCAGCTGGAGCACAATACCAGCCCGCTGCTGGTGGGCCGGGGCCCGGACGCCCACCTCTGGCTGCAGCTCCCTTGCCTCTCCCGCCAGCACCTGTCACTGGAGCCCTATCTGGAGAAGGGCGGCGCCCGGTTGGCCTTCAGCTTGAAGGCCCTGAGCCGCAAGGGCAGCGTGTGGGTCAACGGACTGACACTGAGGTTCCTGGAGCAGGTGCCCCTGGGCACCATCAACAGAGTCGCCTTCTCTGGCATCCAGATGGTGGCCCGCATTGAGGGAGGCACCTCCCTGGAGGCCTTTGTCTGCTGCTTCCATCTCAGCCCCTCGCCCCTGATTTACAGGCTCCGCGCCGAGGAGATAGATGAACGGGAAAGCGTGCTCCAGGAGCAGCCTCCCCCAGGTTCCAGGCAGGGGGCTCCAGGTCCCCTGAGCTTCCTCCACAGCCCTCTCCAGCCCAGCCCTGGAGAAGCGCCAGAAACACCGCTCCAGAGGGACCTCTAGACGGTGCGCTCAGCTAGCCCCGCCGGCCACCCTGGAGCACGCCCCGGCTGAAAACGGACTTGAAATATTCAAGCTACATCATGCCAGGTTGACAGGCTAGGCCCGCATAATAATGAACTGATTCTGCAAACATGAATGGCCGGGGGTGAGAGGAGCGCCCTCCACGGCCACAGCTATGCGAGGTAACAGGAACTTCATATACTTTTAAAGGCCCTGAGGGATTCTGGGAGCCTCCCTCGGTGTTGCCCCACATTTCCCCCTCTCCTCTGACTAGGAGTTACTTTATGTCACTAATTTTGTGTGCCGTTTAAGAGTTGGAGTTTGAGGTTGCACCAGGAATGCAGGGACACATGTAACAATTACGTTTGTGGTAGCTCGGGGTTACCTTGGGCTTTCAAATACCCACAGGCTCTCGGGGCTTAGGGAAGCCTGTGTTTAATAAACTGCAAGTATTTCATTAAGCTGGCATGCCCAACAGGATTCCCTGATCCCCAGATGGGCCTCATGCACGCCACGTCGTCACGCAGAGGTGGGGGTGGGAAGTAGAGGAGAAGTGGAAGAGGAAATTGGAGAGGTGGGGGCTCACATCTCTGGAAAGGACGAAGGCAGAGTCCAGGGCTTCCTGGGGACGGGGAGCTGGGGGCTGGGCCTGCTTGGGAATTCACTGTCACCGTGACCGCCTCATCTTCATGGTCCCTCACTCACCGGTGGATCGAAGGCTTGGAGGACCAGAGAGCAGAGGTCTTCAGGGGAAGGTGGCTTCCCACAGCAATGGGCTCTTCCACGACTAACTCTATGAGAAGGCAGGGTGGGAGGTTGTGGTAGAATGCAGTTCAGCGGTTATTTCACTCAAGGGTGGCTCATGTGCCCATGCAGGTGGACTAGCAGGGGATCAAGCGTAGGATCATTTTCTCAGTGAATGTTGGGAGGCAAGTGCTGGGGAGCAGAGCATAAGCAGTCACACTCCATGCCATCCTGGGGATGGGGAGTGTGGTTTAGAAACCATGTTCACCTGTATAATGAAAGAAGGGGCCTCAGACCCAGATGGTTGCCATCAGCCTAGACCCTGCTCTGTGATATCCAAGGCCCTGAAGCTGCCCATTGGCTGGCTCACATTCCAAGTCTGTAACCACCTTTAGCAAGGTTTTCAACATTCTCCACTTCCCGCCCAAGAAGAGAGATCCTTCTGCACCCAGGCTGCAAGGACTTCCCACTGCACCACCAGGTCTGACATCATCTCCTTGGGAAAGATAGCAGTGGGCAGGACCCAGGCCGCTCTGACTCGGGAAGATTCTATTTTACAGGGAGTGAGGCAGATACACTCAAGTCACAGCCACAAGGCGGGAGAGGATGGAGGATGTAAGCGAACAGGGCTGTCCAAAGCTGTGAGTGGCCCAGGGGGCTCCCAAAGCAGTCCTTCACTCAGTCACTCATCAGACTTTCACCAAGCACTGACCTTGTGTCAGAGGCTGTGCAAAGCCCCAGGAACCAGCAATGAACAGGCTGGCCAAGGCCCTGCCCTCAAGGAGTCTACAGGGGACTCAGTAAAGACATGCATTCTGGCGTTAACTCACTGTAGGCAAAGCTAGAGACTTTGTATTTTCTCTCTCTACACACTGGGGTTATTAACCTCAGCTGTACGCTTAAGTGGCCATGTCTGGTGAGTACTTGCTATGTGCTTGGCACTCTGCTAGGTGCTATGTGTTCGGCACTCTGCTAGGTGCTATGTGCATTCCCCCATTCAATCTTCACAACACCCAGAAAGACAACGGTATTAGCCACACTGTACAAGTGAGGAAACTGAGGCTCAGAAAGGTGAAGTATTTTGCTCAACATCACGCCACTCGCAAGCTATGTGATCTCAGGCAAGTGACTTAGCCTACTTTTGTCTCTCCATTTATCCTGGAAAATGGGTAAGATGATAGCACCTCCCTGCTGGACCCATTGTGAGGGTGTTAGGAGGTGGCATCCATAAAGCCTTTAGGGCATCACCTGGCACACAGTGGGTGCTCAGTAAGTGTTAGCTTCTATTTCAAGACCTGAGAGAGGGCAGCATAGGTCCTGATCCAAGGGCTCACTTGGATAGGTATATGGAGTGAGAAACGTTTAGGAGCTGGGCAGACTGACTCCAGAGCCCAAGGACTTATCCATGTTCTGTGATTCCCTAGTGGAAAATTTTGTCTTAGCCATGGACTAGTGGGCAGTCAGAAGGGGGGTTAATATCATAAATGTTGTCACCAGAAGACCCACTATTCAAGGTTTGTAGAGTGGGAAATGCAGGGGTCAAGGCTGGTGAGCAGCAGAAGCCATGTGTGGTGTGGTCTGATGAAGCCCACTGTTTTTGAACTGCTTTTATTTTTCACACAACAATCCCTCCAGAGACCAAAGTGTCCCTCAAACTATGCATTAGGGAGCAGCAGCCCTTCTCATGCAGAACTGAGAAGCCACTGCCTGGAGACTGAACATCAAAGGTGGAAGGAGAGCAGAAGCTGGCTGGTGGCTCCCCAGAGTCCCCAGGGTGCAGCTCCCCTGCTCCACCAAGGAACCTTTGCTGAACAGGGAGAGTCCTCTCCCCTCCAGGAGGAAGTGACCCATCCCAGCTGGGGGCCTAGGAGAGGGAGCAGCCTGCCTCCTCCCTGCAGGAGTTTCTGACTTGGGGTGAAGTCCGTGAGGCCCTCTGGGCTCCAGGATGGACCACACAGCAGGCTGAAGGAGGGCAAGACCAGAGACAGGGTGGAAGGGAGCCAAGAAACACCCAGCTTGTTGTTTTCAGACCCCACCTGTCCGTGAAGTCCCTTCCAGAAACTCACTGCCTGCCTCCTAGCATGTTTCCAAGACAGCAAAGCTCCATTCCATCAAACTTCCATTTTTCTTGGGTAGAAACCATTTCAATCACCAGAGCCCGATACCCACCCCCTTTCTCATCTAGCTATCTCATCTAGCTATCTTATCTAGCTATCTCATCTAGCTAGTTAGAGCTACCAGGTTGGCTTCAGGCCCTGGTCCATGAACATGATACCCCTTTTTTTGCTGCTCAGACTGAGCAGGGTGGTGAGTCCCTCTCAACAGTGTCCTCTGCATTCTCTCATCTTCCATACGCAGGGCAGCCACGTGGCTCAGAGGCGTGCATGGGCGCACGCGCGCACACACACACACACACGCACACACACACACACACGCACACACACACTCGCGCTGTGCTCGCTCCAAGCTGGGGCTCTGCAGTCAGGCTGTTGTCTGGGTGAGAATTCTTGCTCCACACTTACTACCTCTGTGATCTTGGACAAATGACTGAATCTCCTGGTACCTCAGTTTCTTCTTCTGTAAAATGGGGGAAATGGCAGCTCTGAGAAGTTAAAATGAGGCACAGCATGCAAAGCACCTAGTGCAGTGTCTGGCACACAGGAAGTGCTCAATAGGATGGCTTTCATTGTTCGATCTAGTGGAATGAACGGAATGCGTATAGAACCATGGACTCAGCTAACACACACACACACATCTGCTACAAAGTGCTACATCAATTACCTTCAGGTGTATCCCAGAGTGCTACAATTCTCTAAGACAACATCTGGAAATTTAGAAATCATTCCTTGTGCCTTTTCAGACACTGTAACCCCTACATTCCTCTGCTTTTCCAAAAATGAGAGTCTCCTCAACCCATCTGTGAGTCACAGCACTGCCTTGAGGATGGATGACACAGAGGGAGACACAAGAAGTCTCCATAAACAGCCCCAGTGCGGGGCTCCGAGGCACGAAGAGGCCTGGGAAGCTGTCGTGGGGGCAAACGCAGCAGACACCGCGGTCCTGGCCGTGGCCCAGCACGGCCATTCTCTCCCAGCAACAGAGTGCTGTGCCCACGGAGTCCACGTCTCTCTCTCCTGTGAGAGCCCAAGCTCCACACAGACAAGAACCCTGGGTTGTTGCTGCTGATGTCCCGATGGCCATCGCGGAGCTGGGCAGGGAGGTGTGGGCAGACAGGAAGACGTGGTCAGGAAAGCAGTCACCTTGACGGTGCTAGGGCTTGAGCTGGGCCTCTCAGGGCCAGGGAGAGCAGGACCAAGGCCTGCAGTGGGCGAGGCTGGGGCAAGAAGGCTGCCATGCCTAGGGTAGAAAGTAAATCTCACCTGTTAGGCTGGTGAGAGGGTCGCCCTGGGGCAGCCCAGACCCTCTGGTTGGGGCAGGACAGGGCTGGTTCTTCTGCCTAGCTCTTGAGCTGCCCAAATTTCACCCGGACTCTGGGTTTTTGAAACTCTGTGCGATGACTACAGAGGAAGGTTGACTGATTTGACAGAGCCCCACATCACCAACAAACAGCTCTCATCCAGCACTACAGAGTCCCCAGGGTGCAGCTCCCCTGCTCCACCAAGGAACCTTTGCTGAACAGGGAGAGTCCTCTCCCCTCCAGGAGGAAGTGACCCATCCCAGCTGGGGGCCTAGGAGAGGGAGCAGCCTGCCTCCTCCCTGCAGGAGTTTCTGACTTGGGGTGAAGTCCGTGAGGCCCTCTGGGCTCCAGGATGGACCACACAGCAGGCTGAAGGAGGGCAAGACCAGAGACAGGGTGGAAGGGAGCCAAGAAACACCCAGCTTGTTGTTTTCAGACCCCACCTGTCCGTGAAGTCCCTTCCAGAAACTCACTGCCTGCCTCCTAGCATGTTTCCAAGACAGCAAAGCTCCATTCCATCAAACTTCCATTTTTCTTGGGTAGAAACCATTTCAATCACCAGAGCCCGATACCCACCCCCTTTCTCATCTAGCTATCTCATCTAGCTATCTTATCTAGCTATCTCATCTAGCTAGTTAGAGCTACCAGGTTGGCTTCAGGCCCTGGTCCATGAACATGATACCCCTTTTTTTGCTGCTCAGACTGAGCAGGGTGGTGAGTCCCTCTCAACAGTGTCCTCTGCATTCTCTCATCTTCCATACGCAGGGCAGCCACGTGGCTCAGAGGCGTGCATGGGCGCACGCGCGCACACACACACACACACGCACACACACACACA